CAAGCAGGGAGCCCGATGCGGGACTCGATCCAGGGACTCCAGGATCATGACCTGAGCCGAAGGCAGTCGCTTAACCAACTGAGCCACCCAGGCGCCCTTGAGTAAAATTTTTATAATGCAAGCTTGCTTACAGTGATGAATTATATATAACCACACAGCCAGACACACTTGTACTACTTCATATCTTTTTAAAATTACATGAAGGAATTGCATAAATAAAGAAAAAAAAAAACCACATTTTCCTATTAAGCTAAAATACTACATATACTACTTATCTTCCTATTAAGCCGTTGTTCTTAATGAAAACATTTTCAAAGCTTTTGAAATAGCCTAGAAGAATGTAGCAGCGGACTTCCTTAGTTGCCTACTAAAAATTCATTTCCCTACCCCATTCTTCCTTTTAACAGTATTTGAGTTTGGTTTGGTATATACCCTTCTCTGAGTATGCTGAATATGCTCTGATATGCTTTAGGGAAGACTGGCACCAACCCCAAACCCAACTGGAGAATCCTGATTAGTCTAAGATAATTATGGTGTACCATTTCCCTTGTCAGGGATAAGTTGGGGCATGCTATGATGTTAACTCTGGCCAAAAAGATGTAAAGGGAAGTCTGCAGGGTGTGGGACTGAGAGCATGTGAACATATAGGAGGTGGTGTTGTCACATTTAAAAACAGAGAGGCGCAAGGCCATCGGATATTATGCCTAGACACTGTTGCATCTAGATGTGATGGCTGGCACTGCAGCCATCTTGCAACCATGAAGGAAGCTTGCCTGGGGCCAATGTCATCACATCAAGGATGACACAGCAGAAAAACTAAACAAAACAAAACAAAACAAAAAAAACCCTGGGTCTTTGATGATGTTACCAACCTAGAATGAATCAATCCCCCTTAAAACTTCTTGGTTATATGTGAAATAATAACTTCTCTTTATTCTTTAAATTTTGATTCCAGTTTTCTGTTACTTACAGTCAAAAGCATTCTAACTGCTACAAGTCTGAATTATTTTAAGTCTCTGTTTAAATATTAACAAATGGATCTATAATTTGGGAGATGAAGGACAACAGAATATGCTGCTTAATTTACTAGAAAGACGTACAGTCCAAAGGTAGAAAACTCAGTTACACAAGTAGATCCTAAAGCCTTACCTATTATATTTCAAAGCTGGTTACTATTCTGTTCCCCTCGCCCTAACTGCCCTCCCTACACACACACACACACACACACACACACACACCACTCCAATGGTTTGGAATTGACCTCATCCTCATACCAATGATTTGGGAAAATGGACATCTTCTGACAAAATGGTAGAAGATTCTCTTGTAGAATATAAAGGTCTTTCTCCTGAAGAGGCACTTTAAATATCATAAGACTTGAAACAGTCTAAGATTATGAAATTTCCATTCATTCATATTTATTCACTACCTACTATATGTTAGGATGCTATTTTGAATTTTTATGTGATAACTTGGGATAATTTATAGTATATATTTAACTGCAACTAAAACTAATTTTTTCTGTTTCTGCCGATATATCTGAAATGAGTATTTTCCTTTCTCACAGATGGTGCTACTCCTAACGATCAGAAACATGCCTTCCACCTGCCTTTATCAGTTACCCCACAGGAGTCACCCTTAACTATGTCGGATGGAACACAAGATGGTAATAGATGTTCTTTAAAAGAGAGAGAGGGACACCTGGGTGGCTCAGTGGGTTAAGCGTCTGACTCTTGGCTTCGGCTCGGGTCATGATCTTGGGATCATGAGATCAAGCCCTCTGTTGGGCTCCAAGCTCAGCTCGGAGTCACTTGAGATACTCTCTCCCTCTCCTTCTGCCCAACCCCTCTCTCAAATAAAAAAAATAAATCTTTTTAAAAAGACAGAGAGAGAGAGAGAGAGAGAGTTTTCCATGGTCAAATAATTTGGGGAAATACTGCATGTTATATCACACTTTTGAAGATTTATAAAATATAGCATATGAACTGTCCTGAGAAATTCTGTCATAAAGAAATTTTTATTTAATTCAATGTTTCTGAAACTTACTTGACTCTAGAATCTATTTTTCACCAAATATCTTTCAGTGTCTTGAGGAAATTAGTAATCTTTAAAACGTAAGATATATTCCCTTCTAATATGGCCACTACTCATTTAGAAGTAACAAAAAGAATAAATGCCAAAATAACCACACCAAGCTAGAACTATGCTTTAACAATCTACAGAGACTACAACTTATTTTTAAGTAACTCTCTTCCAGGGTTTTGCATCATATTCTCCAATCCCACCTGCCAGGGACACAGAAATAATATCTTCTCAAATGATTCCAAAAACAATGCTTTTATTATGGGATACTACAATACAAAAACTTCTAAGTGATTCCTAATGTTATGTATCATTCAAACTAGCCTCCCTGGCATATCTGTTATACTCATTGATATAGCCCCAAAACCTAGTATAATGCTTACAACAGAATAGGTGGTCAAGGGCGCCTGGGTGGCTCAGTTGGTTAAGCGACTGCCTTCGGCTCAGGTCATGATCCTGGAGTCCCGGGATCGAGTCCCGCATCGGGCTCC